ATCTCCCTCACTGTTATCTTTTAAATCAGCTTCCAAGGAACTTTTAAAATGTGCCTTTAATCTACGTCCACACAGTGTCGTCTTCACCGTTTATTCACTTTATGTTCATGTCCTCTGCAAAAATCAGTATTCTTATGTGCTAATTGTATATGCTATTGTATCATATATATTCATATATGACATATACATATTTTGAGAACAATTTGAGAACAAACAAACAATGTACTGCATGTATATGTGTATATATTTATATGTATCTACAGTATGCATAGATACATATATGTATATATATGACATATATATACAGTATATATGTGTGTGTATGTCTGTGTGCCAAACGTATTCAAGACCAACTTTATAATGCCCTTTGCTGAACCTCCTGTGGTGTCCAATGGTAGTCATGGTGATGGTGTTGCNNNNCGGCAGGAATTTTAGATCCTTGTCTGTCAGTCTGGGGCAAAACTGAAAGAAAAAAACAAACAAAAAACTGAAGAATAAACCAGGATTTTCTTCTGGTGTATTTCTCTCTCTCTCTTTTTTTCAAACCCTTTGTTTATTCCATTAATCCTCTCTGTGTGACAGTTTGGGACACTTTTACTGTAACTCAAGCAGCTTTGCTGCAGCAACAAGCAGCAGGAGCTCCTCCACAAATTTTCTTTCTCAGCTGAATAGTTCTATTAGCTTGATCACTGTCTTAGTCAGGCAGCTTTTGCTCTTTGTATAGAAACTGGAAGGATTAAGTGGAATAAATGGCGTGTTATAGTCGATAATTTACCACCTCTGAATTTCTGTCACAGCATATAAGTGAACACAGGGCTGTCTTTGTAGAGAAGAATCATGTAAACCAGGGGTCTTTAAAGGAAGTCCGTGACCCGTAGGCAGTCTACAGATAATTTTTAATTTTAATATTAGTTTATCTAGTTTATTTTATTTATTATTTATTATTTATTATTTTCATCCCTCTTTGTCTGTAAAAGGATGCAAAAAGAAGGCAAAATAATCCTGTCAGTTCCTCACTGTATATCTTGCATGAAGAAGATACTGTTTAAAAACACATCTTTCACCATTTGAACAGAACATGAAGTTGTAAGACGAAGACCAAACACATCCCTGCGACTCCAGCCAAATCTGGAACATAACAACATTGACTCTTCCTGCAGTTGTAATGATACATATTAGTAATGGTGCATAACAACCATGTGCCTCTGGGGTCCACTCTGGCCATGACTGGGCCAGAGCCCAATGAGATGGATGATACCTAAAAAAACACGTTAGCTGACTATTCTGTGTGTGGAGATATTTATGTTCTCCTGGGTTGCTGCTTGATTTGTTTTTTTTTTTTTCATGTGAAATATGTTCGGAGATTTTTATATTTAGGCCAATATTTAAATATTTTTTTAAATGTATTTTAGCTATTTTAAATTATTTTTTAGAAGACTTGTACTGTAGCTATTTATACTATGCAGGGGACAGTTCTGACACCACTGACTTCTGGTACAACTCTTGTTTTAGCGCGTCTTAGCCTATTTGACTGCACTTCTTGCTGACCTTTGGCTATTTTTGAAATTCTTTTTTTAACTTTTGGCTACCTTTTAGCTTACACTTATTTCCTCGACCTAACGTCACCCATGTTTCTTTGTTTCACACAGCTGGCAGTGCATTACCTTGCAGCCCCAGAGGGGGGTGACATACAGGGACCCTTGAAAACGCTCCATGATTATAATTTCATGGTCATGTTTAGATATTCTGAGGTCGTTTCTGTGTAGCATTGACAGGCTCTTTATCAGTGTCTGTTTAAAGACAGGTTGACACCGAACAACAACTGAACAACAGTTCTGCTTTCTGTGTGTTGTCTGGAGCCTTGAGCTTTTCCTCCTGTTTCCCTCTATCACGCTGACACACTGTTTGTGTTTTTGCGCACGTGTGTGTGAGTACGCGTGTGTATGTTTGACTCTCCGGTCTGATAATCAGTGACAGAGATGTTATAGGAGTGTGACAGAGTTCTATTTGCTATAACTGACATCTTCATCCCATCACACTCCTTGTTTTTACTGCAACTTACCAAGCGCTGGCATCTGTGGTGTTTCCAGGCGGATACACCGCAGTGGACTGGGAATTCGGAGGATTCAGACAAGGCCACAGACGCTCAGGCAGGTGCAGAGAAGGAAGTGCTGTGCATGCGAGTAATACAGGAGAAGAGGAGAGGTAAAATAGAGAGAGAGACTGAGAGTGAGAGAGGGGGGGAAACTGACTCGCTTCTCTGAGCCTCATATTTGAAGCGTTTAGCAGACACGCTGTCAGATTCAGGGGTCAGAGGGGATGATTGTATCGACAGGCTTTATTCGCCAATCATAACTGAAAAAGACAGGAAGCAGGCTTAAGCAGGAAAAAGCCTTGTGATGCAGAAACGCACCATAAATCAAACGTACAGTTTTGCGGTGAATGAGAACTGAATCAAAGCGAGACTGACTGTTTACCATGTGGCCGCACCACAGAGTGGGGAAAACACTTGTCAGCATCAAAAGCGACACACACAAATAAAGAACCACACAACAAAGAAAATACCCAGGGTTTAATTTGTTTAGTTTCTTTGAGTTTGGAAAATAATTAAGTTAAGAAACAATAGTTGTAATTGCACATGGCATTCCCAACAAACAAACTCCGTAATGAGCTCTGATTTATACCCGCGGCTCTGTCTGCCCAAGACACTGATGGAAACGTAAACTTTTCTTTGTTTGTGTTTGCAATTTTGGGCCACGGTTTGACTTCTTCACTCGTCTCTCTCTCTAAACCTGACTAATTTGTCCTGTCACAGTTTATGTATAAAATCACAAACATGCTCTCATGCTAAAGGGTGTATGTGGTCATGGCAAAGTGAAACCAGTTGGCAGTGGGAGATATTCATCATTAATAAACAAAAACAGCTCTTGTTAACAGATTGGTAGCGTGACCTGCCTTTAGGACAGGGAGGGAGGGGGGATGCGGGGGGTCGGGTTGTTGGTTTTCTGAGGATTTACTATAACACAGTTCTCTGGATAGAAAGACTTGCAACTTGGAAGAGTCTGCTTTTAGAAGAGGCTACATACGTATAGTGAAATATATACATAAACACACATGAGGTACACGTGACCAAAAGCTCATTAAAGTGGTTGCTCATCGTACCGTATCAGGCTCTTTTAACGGCTCATTAATTCTTCCATTGAGAAAACCTTTAAGGGTAACCAGTAGATAGATAGATAGATAGATAGATAGATAGATAGATAGATGTGATATAGCATATAGAAAATGAAAAAGAAAACAGAAAAAATACTTATATATAATAAGCAAACTGTTGGCCAGAGACAGCTCAATTTATTAGCTAAAAAAATTGCACAAGGTTTTAATTTTTCCTATAAAGGAGGGAAACAAAAACAAGACATATAATGATGTGTTTAAATATGTGTTCTGCGCTCCTAATCATTGCACTACACATGGATTATTGTTTGAATTATGCAGGTACGGTACACCGGCTATGCTGTAGCTTGTTCTAATTCACTGAATTTAAATGTTAATTAACAATCAAAACGACACTAACCAGTGTAGAGTGGCTCTAAAAGGTTCTGGTATTTGGACCAGTTTTTTTTTTTTTTTTTTCCAAAGGCTGACTCTCCTCTTATTCACTCACGGCTCACATTATAGCAGTCTAATTAAAGTCCTTTGCATGGAAGACTTGTTCCTGATCTCATTCTCTCCATGTCACTGAATGGATGATTTAAGTTACAGTGCTTGTGACACAAAGTCAAAGGCTGTTGTGTGTCTGGGCCGTTTGTGGAAGGTTTTCTGTTGCTAGTGGCCCACGATGCCTGACCCCTCCCCGTCTTTGTCACCGCTGGCGGTGTACTCTGTTTTCTCCCATCTCCGTGGCAACAGCAGTGCATGCTATTGTGCTGATGTTTGTCCACAGCTAAGGTGTCGCCTAGTATGGGTATAATGGACCTCCCAGTCCGCTTCAGTGTCGGCTTCAGAGTCCCCCAGCAAAGCTGAACGGCCGGGTCCTGCCACTGTTCGTCCCAGCATGTCAGAGCGGAGGCAGCGTCGAGATGAGATATGGTTCATAATGGCTGCTCTGTCTCTGTGCTATATGTGTCAGAGCTCTGCTCCTGTGGACCAGAAGACGCCTGGTCAAACAGAGACGCACAAAGGCTCTGGCTACGACTGGCTACGGCCCATTCTCCACAGTCGGCCATGCTGCCAACTTCCTTCACCTTCTTCTGCCGCAGTCAATCACTGCCTTCACAACCTTTCACATACTTGACATTTTTTGCTATGAAGTATCACGGAGGCAGTGTGAAAAAAGAATTTTGTACAAGTCTGGATTTTTTTGTTTGTGACTGGTTACTTTTTTAGAGTACAGCATGGCTGGCTAAAACCAAAAAGTGACAACCTGATATTTACAGATGGGTAGCCATATTTAGCAATATTAGTAATTTTTTAATCAGAACATTGCTTGACCTTTTGTCCATCTTGAAATCATACTGCTACTACAAACAACAATTTTGTCAAAATAAATAAATTTAACAATGTGTGTACACTACGTAATGCTGTTAAGGTAATTGGTTCACAACTTGTTGTTGTGTATCTTGCTAACGGCAAACTATGTATAAAATGCGGCTAGTCACCAATTACAGGAGCAGAAATAGACAGGCTTGTGTAGCCAAATGGATTTTCCTGCCAATGTGTTTATGGATAGTTACTGTAAGATTGTTACTTTTACAACACAGAGCTGTACTTAGGCCATTAGTCTCCGGTTATACGTGTTATTAAAATCCAGATGCAACCGTTTGCACTATTTAACTTAGCCATAGGACGCCACACAGATATTACATTGTTCAGTCACGCTGCAGTCAAGACTGATGCTTTAAATGTGTAAGTGGCACATTTCACTTTCATGATATTTTCCTTGATTGACTGACAATGAAGGTGGTGAGCAGCTCTAATACCCACACTTCGTCTTAGAAACTGCAGGAAAATGACTCTCTGCTGGGCTTTTAACATTTACAGAAAGGATACACGGCTGAACAGAGAACACTTCTCTGCTGTGGTTCTCAAGAGATGGCTCTGAATTCAACTTCTAAATCCTTTGGAATGCCAGGGAACATCTCTGCGGCTAATGCGCCACATATTCTCATCTACCGACTGGTGTTTTAACCTCTTTAGCATGGCCTCTAGAGGAAAAGCGGGATATGATTAGGAATTCGTTAGCGGGCTTCTATTTTCATGCTGATGACACACTTTCTTCTCCTGGGCTCTTAATGTTGCTGCCTCTTGACTTTCTCACTGTCTTTTTCTAAACTAGATCAGCTGTTTACCGCCGCGGAGAAACGTGACATGAAGTTCAGCGAGTAAAGCAGCTGCAAGCACAAAGGACCGCTAACAGTCGGAGAGAAAAACGCTCAGCTGAAATCCAGACACAGGCCTCTTTAAACCCAGGTATGTGTGTGTGTGTGTGTAAATATGTGTGTGTGTGTGTGTGTGCTCTTTCTGTAAGCTATTTAGGACAAATTGTTGAGACTGTTATATGTGTAGTTTTTATATGTAGTAGAGAGAAATTTCTGTTCCTAATTAGATTGAACCCTAATGTTTGAGGTGAAGTTTTGATGAAGATGGGAAATGTAATTAAAATTTGATCAACTGGTCGTGTTAAGGGTTAGGACTACATTTCTTGTGCGGCTGTAGATATAAATAAATGTGCGCATGTGAGCGTTATATCTGCACTGTGTTTCACCAGTCGGACCTGAAGCCTCTTTCTCGGACTGTAATATACAAAGAACAGGCACAAAACCAATAAAGGGTGCCATACAATTTAGTAGAAATCCAGGGTTTTGTTCAGCCATTCATGTTTGGAGCAGATTACAGTGTGTCCACACATCCACTCTCCCCAGAGTGCCTCTTCTGTGGTTCAGGTATTGTGACCACAGGCAGCCGGGCTGGTGGCCCTGGGCCCCGTGTGCTTTGGAGAAGAGAGGACAGTGGCTGCATTTGTTTCCCATTCAAAGGGATTACAGGTTGTGACGGCCGTGATTAATCACCCAGAGGCAGACATCTGAATACGGCCAGGGAAAGGTTCAACTTTTTAATTCATCCCACACACAATCTATTCAAACCAGCTGTTGGCGCTCCTTTCCCTCATCTCGCGGCTCTTTCTTCTCGGTGACCATTGCCTTCCACCGTCTTTCTCTGCACATGTATGGCTCACATAATTATCTGGCAACGCAGAGTTGTTGTAATTGTGGGGGTGCTTGGACGCTGCTCAGTGTTCTTTTCTTACTGGAGATGAGTTCCTTTCTTCTTTGTGAGTGAATGGTTAATTGACTTTGTTAATGCATTAGGGGATCAGTGATTTCTCAGCGACAAATGACCTTTATGGAGCTCACTATCACGTATTATTTACCGCGGGTGTGTGCATACGTGTGCGTGTTGATCCATCGTGACCTTTTCTTTCCTTTGGTGCGTTTTGGCCGAGAGAGATTTCTCTCTTTTTCCTCCAAAACCACTTCAAATCTATAAACATTTCTGCGTGGCTGCTACACTGATAGACAGCTGAATTCCAGTGTCTTGAATAAATTTCTCATCTCGCCTTGTTCATATCCACTCATATGAGCAGGCCTTCTCATTAAGACTCAGCAGGTTATATGATGGTATTGCAGGAATCCCTGGAGCAAAATGAACAGGGACAGCTACACTGCTTAATGCAAGGTAGCCTAGCAACAGATAGTGGGATGGCAGTGGAAACATACCCTCATATTTATGTTTACATGAGAGAATGATTTGTCTGTCAGGCTGATGGATCCTAATGTTCTCCTCTCCCCGGGGCTTTTCTTGTGCCGCACGCAGGCCTGACACTTACCCTGAAGGACAGGCACCACCTTCCCCAACATGCATGAATTCTTAATACTGTTAGACTGCATTTATGCAAAGAATAGAAATGGCACAGCATGAGAGGGGGGGATAAAATGCATCAAAAGCCTGGCATGGTATGTACCGTGAACACGGTGGGTTGCATAGAGAATGACAGCAGACATAAGAAAGGACAACGTAGACTTATGTTCCTTTTTGGCGGTTTATTCCCCATAACGCTTTGCAAAATGATCAGATTGTGCTGCCGTACAGAGTGTTAACATGACATTAGTCGAAAATAATTCATGGTGTCAGTTTGTCAACTGCCACATGTTAAAAAAATGTATATGTAAATATGTTGTCAAATTTAAATGTTGATAAACACATTTTTGCCAGAACAGACCAGTTCACTAAATATGTGGTTGAGTCTCAGACTACACTACATGTAGATAATAAAACTGTTCTTCATCACAACTGCACATTCTCCTCATTGGTCCCCATGACTGTTTGATCACTATTGGACAACTGACTGACCCATGACTGTTTGATCACTATTGGACACAATCTGTAAATATTACAAGCAACCTTACAACATTGTCAACATTTTGTCTCAAAAACAAAACCCACCATCATCACAAGCAGCAGGACATATTTCTAGCTCTATCACGTGCTAAATATTAGCTTCAGATATGCACTAGCTGGTCTTGGCTTACAACTGTAAACAATGATTCAATGTTGCAGTAGTATAGCTTTGCAACAATAAGACATAGCATGTTTAATGTGTATTTGACAACAAAAACACAAGCATGTACAGTTGTTACAGAGCCAAACTGCGCCCACCTCCCTCTGTCGCTGCCTCCCCCAAGATAAAAAGTTATGTCCCGAGGATAATAAAGAAATCCCACCCATTAGCGCTGCATGATCTTTGAAAAAAAATAATTCTTAAAATGTCACATTAATTTACAATAACTGTAAGTGACAGTAACAGAGTGCTCCTGGCTGGTGCTTAGTTTCCTGAAGACACAACATATTATCATATTATCTTGAGTGAACTTTTTTTTTTTTTTTAAATGTCACCGCAGTTGTTTCATAGCTAATACATGTATCACTACTAATTTAAAGTTACTTAGCAGCTAAGGTGTAAATTGGAGAAGAGTGTAAGGGTGCCACAGGACCCGACTTATCGTAACCCTTTGCAGCAGAAGTGCATGTCATTTTGTTAATTAATTAACTCTCCTCTTCAGCTAACAAACAGAGACAAAGACAGCAGTGCAGTCACATGACCCGGTCATGCTTTAACATAGCTTGACCTGACTGTAAGTACAGTCAATGGACTGATTGTCAACTGTAATGCAGTAAAGACAGTCACTTCCACTAAGCACAGTATATGTGAGCTATATGACTTGATAGAGTCTGTCTTTACTGTATGTCCAGCTCCTCCGGGGACAGACTACATCAACTCAATTAGCCTGGCACAGCCAGAGTATCAGCACCACAGATTAGATTTCACTCTGCCTTGTTTACCAGAGAGTGGCCCACGGAATAATATCTATACAATTTGTGCTTTCAGAAAAATGATGATGGTATCATAGCAGGGAGCAGCAAATATAAGCTCTCGCATCGCAGTGTATGGTAACTGACTGGAAGAGATATAAAAAAGCCTTTTGTCAGGAGATCTCCCTGTTCATTGTGTGAACTTGTTTCCATAGTTACATCAATGTTGTTGAAGTGAGAAGATCAGGTATTCCAGTGAGTGATCTTTAACATGAGCTTTGCTTCACTCCTATTGATTTTTATTCCACGGTGGGGGGAAAAAAGAAAACAGACCACTGCAAGCTGTCTCAGAGATATTGTGGAAATAATGAAAGGGTGAAATGTGTTGGAAATGTGCTGGACAAGTCAAAGAAAAGAAAAGCTTCTCAGAAAGCAATGAGAGATTTTGAGATGCCACGTCTGAATCTGGAGGGAGTCAGATGATATTCTCAGAACTGAAAATCAAAACAAAAAAAAAGGAGAGCAGACAGTGACCTCCTTCCACATGTAGAGGATTATACTTTTAATAGTAACAATGGAACTTTTCAGCTTTCCTAGGACACTGCTCTGAACGTAGTACAGATTGGAATGAGTTTAAAGGATGCTGCCAGTCCTTACCTTGACAAAGTAGGAAAAGAAAGTTTTATCATATTGCACCATCTGATGGCACTGTATGGTATGGTATGTAGGCTTTATTGTAGTATGGCACTGTACTGTGTAGTATAGTAAGGTTGTGGAAGGCTGTAGGATGTTATGGTTTAGTATAGTATAAAACGATATAGTACAATATCGTACAATACTATATGTCTTAGCTGACTTTGGGTCAGTGCCGAAAATGTGAAAAGCCCTTTAAACCACTTGATTTGAGGGGGTGGGTGGAGGGACCTATAGGAACAGATTTTGAAAATGTGAGACATATTTGTAGCACTTGTGGTGACAACTATGGGGAGACAGTTGCACTACAAATCATCTCGCAATATTCACACATGGCTGTCTCCGTGCCTGGACTCATCTGGACTCGCCGAGACGAGCCTTTGATGTGTCATTGTCAGAAAACTCCTCTTGGAGAAGATGTCAAAACTTCATGGCAGTAGAAAATCATTCACACTCCATAGATGCACCAGGCTACATTTTTGGAATCTGTATTATTGTTTTGATCACACATGTCCTAAGATTATATTTTGATGAATCCTCTTGAGGATGTTGAAAGTTGTGAATCAGAAACTACCACAAACTTCAAGATGTCCAGCTTCCTGTTGAATGGATTTTTTTTCTCGCAATAAAGTTTTCTAAGGCTGACTTTTGGGATTATAACCAAGGTGGTTTACATGTTGACTCATAACAAGACTGCTATACAAACATCTATATTGTGTCTGAGTTTATGGCAGTTTCTTTGTCCATGTCTAAGCTTCTTATTATGTGATCTTTATGTGAAAGAAACTGTAAAAAAAAGGAAAGGCTGAACAATGGGGTTCTTTCAAAACTCCCAATGTGTCCTTGTCATTGATCTATCATGGTCCTTAGTGCTCCACCCGGAAAAAAAAACAAAAAAACAATATGACAGGCTCAAAACTAATCACTGTCTCTGCCAGTCGATGATTGCCGCGTTGTTAGCCACATGCTTATGTGTTCATGTGAAATCTCCTCAACAGCGTGCCGCTCACTCTAATGCTAATGGCTCTGAAAAGAGAGTTAATCACTGCTGTGCGGTTAGCCACATGCTCGCCTTTTGCAGCATGGCTGGTGTGTTCCAGGGGTTAGCAAAACACTGGCGTAACACATGATCGCTCTTTATGAGTCTGGGGCCGGCAAGAGAGAGAGAGCACGGGAGGCTGAGAGAGAGAGAGAAAAAGAGAGGGGGCCCACAGATGATGCTAAAAAGACGGTAATGACAGCCATTCACCGCAATCCAATTATGCAAAAGGGAGTCTAAACAATTCCATCATCCCCTAAATTAGATTGTCCTAACGAGATAAAGGCACCAATTAATCCTGAATTAATTTCTACAGCTCATTTTCCCCAGAAAACAATCCAATATGCAAATACCAATGAGAGACAGA